TCCAGTTCTCTGTGAGACAGTGGTACCTTCGGTGCTTGATACTGTAGTGCCAGAAGTCTGAGACACAGTTGTACCTTCGGTGCTTGACACTGTTGTGCCAGTAGTCTGAGACACGGTTGTACCTTCGGTGCTTGTCACTGGCGAGATGGTAGTTGCGATTGTGTCTGTCGTTGTCTCAGCTGTAGTTCCAGTAGTTTGTGAGACAGTGGTACCTTCGGTGCTTGATACTGTAGTGCCAGAAGTCTGAGACACGGTTGTACCTTCAGTGCTTGTCACTGGAGAGATTGTAGTTGCGATTGTGCCTGTCGTTGTCTCAGCTGTAGTTCCAGTAGTCTGTGAGACAGTGGTTCCTTCGGTGCTTGATACTGTAGTGCCAGAAGTTTGAGACACGGTTGTACCTTCGGTGCTTGTAACTGGCGAGGTCGTAGTTTCAGTTGTGCCTGTTGTTGTCTCAGCTGTAGTGCCAGTAGTTTGAGGAACAGTTGTACCTTCGGTGCTTGACACTGTTGTGCCAGTAGTCTGAGAGACGGTTGTACCTTCGGTGATTGATACTGTAGTGCCAGTAGTTTGAGGAACAGTTGTACCTTCGGTCCTTGACACTGTTGTGCCAGTAGTCTGAGACACGGTTGTACCTTCAGTTCTTATCACTGGCGAGATGGTAGTTGCGATTGTGCCTGTCGTTGTCTCAGCTGTAGTTCCAGTAGTCTGTGAGACAGTGGTACCTTCGGTGCTTGATACTGTAGTGCCAGAAGTTTGAGACACGGTTGTACCTTCGGTGCTTGTAACTGGCGAGGTCGTAGTTTCAATTGTGCCTGTTGTTGTCTCAGCTGTAGTTCCAGTAGTCTGTGAGACAGTGGTTCCTTCGGTGCTTGATACTGTAGTGCCAGAAGTTTGAGACACGGTTGTACCTTCGGTGTTTGTAACAGGCGAGGTCGTAGTTTCAATTGTGCCTGTTGTTGTCTCAGCTGTAGTGCCAGTAGTTTGAGGAACAGTTGTACCTTCGGTGGTTGACACTGTTGTGCCAGTAGTCTGAGAGACGGTTGTACCTTCGGTGCTTGATACTGTAGTGCCAGAAGTTTGAGACACGGTTGTACCTTCGGTGCTTGTAACTGTCGAGGTCGTAGTTTCAATTGTGCCTGTTGTTGTCTCAGCTGTAGTTCCAGTATTCTGTGAGACAGTGGTTGCTTCGGTGCTTGATACTGTAGTGCCAGAAGTTTGAGACACGGTTGTACCTTCGGTGCTTGATACTGTAGTGCCAGAAGTTTGAGACACGGTTGTACCTTCGGTGTTTGTAACTGGCGAGGTCGTAGTTTTAATTGTGCCTGTTGTTGTCTCAGCTGTAGTGCCAGTAGTTTGAGGAACAGTTGTACCTTCGGTGGTTGACACTGTTGTGCCAGTAGTCTGAGAGACGGTTGTACCTTCGGTGCTTGATACTGTAGTGCCAGTAGTTTGAGGAACAGTTGTACCTTCGGTGCTTGACACTGTTGTGCCAGTAGTCTGAGACACGGTTGTACCTTCGGTGCTTGACACTGTTGTGCCAGTAGTCTGAGACACGGTTGTACCTTCGGTGCTTGTCACTGGCGAGATGGTAGTTGCGATTGTGCCTGTCGTTGTCTCAGCTGTAATTCCAGTAGTCTGTGAGACAGTGGTACCTTCGGTGCTTGATACTGTAGTGCCAGAAGTCTGAGACACGGTTGTACCTTCAGTGCTTGTCACTGGCGAGATGGTAGTTGCGATTGTGCCTGTCGTTGTCTCAGCTGTAGTTCCAGTAGTCTGTGAGACAGTGGTACCTTCGGTGCTTGATACTGTAGTGCCAGAAGTTTGAGACACGGTTGTACCTTCGGTGCTTGTAACTGGCGAGGTCGTAGTTTCAATTGTGCCTGTTGTTGTCTCAGCTGTAGTTCCAGTATTCTGTGAGACAGTGGTTCCTTCGGTGCTTGATACTGTAGTGCCAGAAGTTTGAGACACGGTTGTACCTTCGGTGTTTGATACTGTAGTGCCAGTAGTTTGAGGAACAGTTGTACCTTCGGTGCTTGACACTGTTGTGCCAGTAGTCTGAGACACGGTTGTACCTTCGGTGCTTGACACTTTTGTGCCAGTAGTCTGAGACACGGTTGTACCTTCGGTGCTTGTCACTGGCGAGATGGTAGTTGCGATTGTGCCTGTCGTTGTCTCAGCTGTAGTTCCAGTTCTCTGTGAGACAGTGGTACCTTCGGTGCTTGATACTGTAGTGCCAGAAGTCTGAGACACAGTTGTACCTTCGGTGCTTGACACTGTTGTGCCAGTAGTCTGAGACACGGTTGTACCTTCGGTGCTTGTCACTGGCGAGATGGTAGTTGCGATTGTGCCTGTCGTTGTCTCAGCTGTAGTTCCAGTATTCTGTGAGACAGTGGTTCCTTCGGTGCTTGATACTGTAGTGCCAGAAGTTTGAGACACGGTTGTACCTTCGGTGCTTGATATTGTAGTGCCAGTAGTTTGAGGAACAGTTGTACCTTCGGTGCTTGACACTGTTGTGCCAGTAGTCTGAGACACGGTTGTACCTTCGGTGCTTGTCACTGGCGAGATGGTAGTTGCGATTGTGCCTGTCGTTGTCTCAGCTGTAGTTCCAGTAGTTTGTGAGACAGTGGTACCTTCGGTGCTTGTTACTGTAGTGCCAGAAGTCTGCGACACGGTTGTACCTTCAGTGCTTGTCACTGGCGAGATGGTAGTTGCGATTGTGCCTGTCGTTGTCTCAGCTGTAGTTCCAGTAGTCTGTGAGACAGTGGTTCCTTCGGTGCTTGATACTGTAGTGCCAGAAGTTTGAGACACGGTTGTACCTTCGGTGCTTGTAACTGGCGAGGTCGTAGTTTCAGTTGTGCCTGTTGTTGTCTCAGCTGTAGTGCCAGTAGTTTGAGGAACAGTTGTACCTTCGGTGCTTGACACTGTTGTGCCAGTAGTCTGAGAGACGGTTGTACCTTCGGTGCTTGATACTGTAGTGCCAGTAGTTTGAGGAACAGTTGTACCTTCGGTGCTTGTCACTGTTGTGCCAGTAGTCTGAGACACGGTTGTACCTTCGGTGCTTGTCACTGGCGAGATGGTAGTTGCGATTGTGCCTGTCGTTGTCTCAGCTGTAGTTCCAGTAGTTTGTGAGACAGTGATACCTTCGGTGCTTGATACTGTAGTGCCAGAAGTCTGAGACACGGTTGTACCTTCAGTGCTTGTCACTGGCGAGATGGTAGTTGCGATTGTGCCTGTCGTTGTCTCAGCTGTAGTTCCAGTAGTCTGTGAGACAGTGGTACCTTCGGTGCTTGAAACGGTAGTGCCAGAAGTTTGAGACGCGGTTGTACCTTCGGTGCTTGTAACTGGCGAGGTCGTAGTTTCAGTTGTGCCTGTTGTTGTCTCAGCTGTAGTGCCAGTAATTTGAGGAACAGTTGTACCTTCGGTGCTTGACACTGTTGTGCCAGTAGTCTGAGAGACGGTTGTACCTTCGGTGCTTGATACTGTAGTGCCAGTAGTTTGAGGAACAGTTGTACCTTCGGTGCTTGACACTGTTGTGCCAGTAGTCTGAGACACGGTTGTACCTTCAGTGCTTGTCACTGGCGAGATGGTAGTTGCGATTGTGCCTGTCGTTGTCTCAGCTGTAGTTCCAGTAGTCTGTGAGACAGTGGTACCTTTGGTGCTTGATACTGTAGTGCCAGAAGTTTGAGACACGGTTGTACCTTCGGTGCTTGTAACTGGCGAGGTCGTAGTTTCAATTGTGCCTGTTGTTGTCTCAGCTGTAGTTCCAGTAGTCTGTGAGACAGTGGTTCCTTCGGTGCTTGATACTGTAGTGCCAGAAGTTTGAGACACGGTTGTACCTTCGGTGCTTGATACTGTAGTGCCAGTAGTTTGAGGAACAGTTGTACCGTCGGTGCTTGACACTGTTGTGCCAGTAGTCTGAGACACGGTTGTACCTTCGGTGCTTGTCACTGGCGAGATGGTAGTTGCGATTGTGCCTGTCGTTGTCTCAGCTGTAGTTCCAGTATTTTGTGAGACAGTGGTACCTTCGGTGCTTGTTACTGTAGTGCCAGAAGTCTGAGACACGGTTGTACCTTCAGTGCTTGTCACTGGCGAGATGGTAGTTGCGATTGTGCCTGTCGTTGTCTCAGCTGTAGTTCCAGTAGTCTGTGAGACAGTGGTTCCTTCGGTGCTTGATACTGTAGTGCCAGAAGTTTGAGACACGGTTGTACCTTCGGTGTTTGTAACTGGCGAGGTCGTAGTTTCAATTGTGCCTGTTGTTGTCTCAGCTGTAGTGCCAGTAGTTTGAGGAACAGTTGTACCTTCGGTGGTTGACACTGTTGTGCCAGTAGTCTGAGAGACGGTTGTACCTTCGGTGCTTGATACTGTAGTGCCAGTAGTTTGAGGAACAGTTGTACCTTCGGTGCTTGACACTGTTGTGACAGTAGTCTGAGACACGGTTGTACCTTCGGTGCTTGACACTGTTGTGCCAGTAGTCTGAGACACGGTTGTACCTTCGGTGCTTGTCACTGGCGAGATGGTAGTTGCGATTGTGCCTGTCGTTGTCTCAGCTGTAGTTCCAGTAGTCTGTGAGACAGTGGTACCTTCGGTGCTTGATACTGTAGTGCCAGAAGTTTGAGACACGGTTGTACCTTCGGTGCTTGTAACTGGCGAGGTCGTAGTTTCAATTGTGCCTGTTGTTGTCTCAGCTGTAGTTCCAGTATTCTGTGAGACAGTGGTTCCTTCGGTGCTTGATACTGTAGTGCCAGAAGTTTGAGACACGGTTGTACCTTCGGTGCTTGATACTGTAGTGCCAGTAGTTTGAGGAACAGTTGTACCTTCGGTGCTTGACACTGTTGTGCCAGTAGTCTGAGACACGGTTGTACCTTCGGTGCTTGACACTTTTGTGCCAGTAGTCTGAGACACGGTTGTACCTTCGGTGCTTGTCACTGGCGAGATGGTAGTTGCGATTGTGCCTGTCGTTGTCTCAGCTGTAGTTCTAGTTCTCTGTGAGACAGTGGTACCTTTGGTGCTTGATACTGTAGTGCCAGAAGTCTGAGACACAGTTGTACCTTCGGTGCTTGACACTGTTGTGCCAGTAGTCTGAGACACGGTTGTACCTTCGGTGCTTGTCACTGGCGAGATGGTAGTTGCGATTGTGCCTGTCGTTGTCTCAGCTGTAGTTCCAGTAGTTTGTGAGACAGTGGTACCTTCGGTGCTTGATACTGTAGTGCCAGAAGTCTGAGACACGGTTGTACCTTCAGTGCTTGTCACTGGCGAGATTGTAGTTGCGATTGTGCCTGTCGTTGTCTCAGCTGTAGTTCCAGTAGTCTGTGAGACAGTGGTTCCTTCGGTGCTTGATACTGTAGTGCCAGAAGTTTGAGACACGGTTGTACCTTCGGTGCTTGTAACTGGCGAGGTCGTAGTTTCAGTTGTGCCTGTTGTTGTCTCAGCTGTAGTGCCAGTAGTTTGAGGAACAGTTGTACCTTCGGTGCTTGACACTGTTGTGCCAGTAGTCTGAGAGACGGTTGTACCTTCGGTGCTTGATACTGTAGTGCCAGTAGTTTGAGGAACAGTTGTACCTTCGGTGCTTGTCACTGTTGTGCCAGTAGTCTGAGACACGGTTGTACCTTCGGTGCTTGTCACTGGCGAGATGGTAGTTGCGATTGTGCCTGTCGTTGTCTCAGCTGTAGTTCCAGTAGTTTGTGAAACAGTGGTACCTTCAGTGCTTGATACTGTAGTGCCAGAAGTCTGAGACACGGTTGTACCTTCAGCGCTTGTCACTGGCGAGATGGTAGTTGCGATTGTGCCTGTCGTTGTCTCAGCTGTAGTTCCAGTAGTCTGTGAGACAGTGGTACCTTCGGTGCTTGAAACTGTAGTGCCAGAAGTTTGAGACACGGTTGTACCTTCGGTGCTTGTAACTGGCGAGGTCGTAGTTTCAATTGTGCCTGTTGTTGTCTCAGCTGTAGTTCCAGTATTCTGTGAGACAGTGGTTCCTTCGGTGCTTGATACTGTAGTGCCAGAAGTTTGAGACACGGTTGTACCTTCGGTGCTTGTAACTGTCGAGGTCGTAGTTTCAATTGTGCCTGTTGTTGTCTCAGCTGTAGTTCCAGTAGTCTGTGAGACAGTGGTTCCTTCGGTGCTTGATACTGTAGTGCCAGAAGTTTGAGACACGGTTGTACCTTCGGTGCTTGATATTGTAGTGGCAGTAGTTTGAGGAACAGTTGTACCGCCGGTGCTTGACACTGTTGTGCCAGTAGTCTGAGACACGGTTGTACCTTCGGTGCTTGTCACTGGCGAGATGGTAGTTGCGATTGTGCCTGTCGTTGTCTCAGCTGTAGTTCCAGTAGTCTGTGAGACAGTGGTACCTTCGGTGCTTGTTACTGTAGTGCCAGAAGTCTGAGACACGGTTGTACCTTCAGTGCTTGTCACTGGCGAGATGGTAGTTGCGATTGTGCCTGTCGTTGTCTCAGTTGTAGTTCCAGTAGTCTGTGAGACAGTGGTTCCTTCGGTGCTTGATACTGTAGTGCCAGAAGTTTGAGACACGGTTGTACCTTCGGTGCTTGTAACTGGCGAGGTCGTAGTTTCAGTTGTGCCTGTTGTTGTCTCAGCTGTAGTGCCAGTAGTTTGAGGAACAGTTGTACCTTCGGTGCTTGACACTGTTGTGCCAGTAGTCTGAGAGACGGTTGTACCTTCGGTGCTTGATACTGTAGTGCCAGTAGTTTGAGGAACAGTTGTACCTTCGGTGCTTGTCACTGTTGTGACAGTAGTCTGAGACACGGTTGTACCTTCGGTGCTTGACACTGTTGTGCCAGTAGTCTGAGACACGGTTGTACCTTCGGTGCTTGTCACTGGCGAGATGGTAGTTGCGATCGTGCCTGTCGTTGTCTCAGCTGTAGTTCCAGTAGTCTGTGAGACAGTGGTACCTTCGGTGCTTGATACTGTAGTGCCAGAAGTTTGAGACACGGTTGTACCTTCGGTGCTTGTAACTGGCGAGGTCGTAGTTTCAATTGTGCCTGTTGTTGTCTCAGCTGTAGTTCCAGTATTCTGTGAGACAGTGGTTCCTTCGGTGCTTGATACTGTAGTGCCAGAAGTTTGAGACACGGTTGTACCTTCGGTGCTTGATACTGTAGTGCCAGTAGTTTGAGGAACAGTTGTACCTTCGGTGCTTGACACTGTTGTGCCAGTAGTCTGAGACACGGTTGTACCTTCGGTGCTTGACACTTTTGTGCCAGTAGTCTGAGACACGGTTGTACCTTCGGTGCTTGTCACTGGCGAGATGGTAGTTGCGATTGTGCCTGTCGTTGTCTCAGCTGTAGTTCTAGTTCTCTGTGAGACAGTGGTACCTTTGGTGCTTGATACTGTAGTGCCAGAAGTCTGAGACACAGTTGTACCTTCGGTGCTTGACACTGTTGTGCCAGTAGTCTGAGACACGGTTGTACCTTCGGTGCTTGTCACTGGCGAGATGGTAGTTGCGATTGTGCCTGTCGTTGTCTCAGCTGTAGTTCCAGTAGTTTGTGAGACAGTGGTACCTTCGGTGCTTGATACTGTAGTGCCAGAAGTCTGAGACACGGTTGTACCTTCAGTGCTTGTCACTGGCGAGATTGTAGTTGCGATTGTGCCTGTCGTTGTCTCAGCTGTAGTTCCAGTAGTCTGTGAGACAGTGGTTCCTTCGGTGCTTGATACTGTAGTGCCAGAAGTTTGAGACACGGTTGTACCTTCGGTGCTTGTAACTGGCGAGGTCGTAGTTTCAGTTGTGCCTGTTGTTGTCTCAGCTGTAGTGCCAGTAGTTTGAGGAACAGTTGTACCTTCGGTGCTTGACACTGTTGTGCCAGTAGTCTGAGAGACGGTTGTACCTTCGGTGCTTGATACTGTAGTGCCAGTAGTTTGAGGAACAGTTGTACCTTCGGTGCTTGTCACTGTTGTGCCAGTAGTCTGAGACACGGTTGTACCTTCGGTGCTTGTCACTGGCGAGATGGTAGTTGCGATTGTGCCTGTCGTTGTCTCAGCTGTAGTTCCAGTAGTTTGTGAAACAGTGGTACCTTCAGTGCTTGATACTGTAGTGCCAGAAGTCTGAGACACGGTTGTACCTTCAGCGCTTGTCACTGGCGAGATGGTAGCTGCGATTGTGCCTGTCGTTGTCTCAGCTGTAGTTCCAGTAGTCTGTGAGACAGTGGTACCTTCGGTGCTTGATACTGTAGTGCCAGAAGTTTGAGACACGGTTGTACCTTCGGTACTTGTAACTGGCGAGGTCGTAGTTTCAATTGTGCCTGTTGTTGTCTCAGCTGTAGTTCCAGTAGTCTGTGAGACAGTGGTTCCTTCGGTGCTTGATACTGTAGTGCCAGAAGTTTGAGACACGGTTGTACCTTCGGTGTTTGATATTGTAGTGCCAGTAGTTTGAGGAACAGTTGTACCGCCGGTGCTTGACACTGTTGTGCCAGTAGTCTGAGACACGGTTGTACCTTCGGTGCTTGTCACTGGCGAGATGGTAGTTGCGATTGTGCCTGTCGTTGTCTCAGCTGTAGTTCCAGTAGTTTGTGAGACAGTGGTACCTTCGGTGCTTGTTACTGTAGTGCCAGAAGTCTGAGACACGGTTGTACCTTCAGTGCTTGTCACTGGCGAGATGGTAGTTGCGATTGTGCCTGTCGTTGTCTCAGCTGTAGTTCCAGTAGTCTGTGAGACAGTGGTTCCTTCGGTGCTTAATACTGTAGTGCCAGAAGTTTGAGACACGGTTGTACCTTCGGTGCTTGTAACTGGCGAGGTCGTAGTTTCAGTTGTGCCTGTTGTTGTCTCAGCTGTAGTGCCAGTAGTTTGAGGAACAGTTGTACCTTCGGTGCTTGACACTGTTTTGCCAGTAGTCTGAGAGACGGTTGTACCTTCGGTGCTTGATACTGTAGTGCCAGTAGTTTGAGGAACAGTTGTACCTTCGGTGCTTGTCACTGTTGTGCCAGTAGTCTGAGACACGGTTGTACCTTCGGTGCTTGTCACTGGCGAGATGGTAGTTGCGATTGTGCCTGTCGTTGTCTCAGCTGTAGTTCCAGTAGTTTGTGAGACAGTGGTACCTTCGGTGCTTGATACTGTAGTGCCAGAAGTCTGAGACACGGTTGTACCTTCAGCGCTTGTCACTGGCGAGATGGTAGTTGCGATTGTGCCTGTCGTTGTCTCAGCTGTAGTTCCAGTAGTCTGTGAGACAGTGGTACCTTCGGTGCTTGATACTGTAGTGCCAGAAGTTTGAGACACGGTTGTACCTTCGGTGCTTGTAACTGGCGAGGTCGTAGTTTCAATTGTGCCTGTTGTTGTCTCAGCTGTAGTTCCAGTATTCTGTGAGACAGTGGTTCCTTCGGTGCTTGATACTGTAGTGCCAGAAGTTTGAGACACGGTTGTACCTTCGGTGCTTGATATTGTAGTGCCAGTAGTTTGAGGAACAGTTGTACCTTCGGTGCTTGACACTGTTGTGCCAGTAGTCTGAGACACGGTTGTACCTTCGGTGCTTGTCACTGGCGAGATGGTAGTTGCGATTGTGCCTGTCGTTGTCTCAGCTGTAGTTCCAGTAGTTTGTGAGACAGTGGTACCTTCGGTGCTTGTTACTGTAGTGCCAGAAGTCTGAGACACGGTTGTACCTTCAGTGCTTGTCACTGGCGAGATGGTAGTTGCGATTGTGCCTGTCGTTGTCTCAGCTGTAGTTCCAGTAGTCTGTGAGACAGTGGTTCCTTCGGTGCTTGATACTGTAGTGCCAGAAGTTTGAGACACGGTTGTACCTTCGGTGCTTGTAGCTGGCGAGGTCGTAGTTTCAGTTGTGCCTGTTGTTGTCTCAGCTGTAGTGGCAGTAGTTTGAGGAACAGTTGTACCTTCGGTGCTTGACACTGTTGTGCCAGTAGTCTGAGAGACGGTTGTACCTTCGGTGCTTGATACTGTAGTGCCAGTAGTTTGAGGAACAGTTGTACCTTCGGTGCTTGTCACTGTTCTGCCAGTAGTCTGAGACACGGTTGTACCTTCGGTGCTTGTCACTGGCGAGATGGTAGTTGCGATTGTGCCTGTCGTTGTCTCAGCTGTAGTTCCAGTAGTTTGTGAGACAGTGGTACCTTCGGTGCTTGATACTGTAGTGCCAGAAGTCTGAGACACGGTTGTACCTTCAGTTTTTGTCACTGGCGAGATGGTAGTTGCGATTGTGCCTGTCGTTGTCTCAGCTGTAGTTCCAGTAGTCTGTGAGACAGTGGTACCTTCGGTGCTTGAAACTGTAGTGCCAGAAGTTTGAGACGCGGTTGTACCTTCGGTGCTTGTAACTGGCGAGGTCGTAGTTTCAGTTGTGCCTGTTGTTGTCTCAGCTGTAGTGCCAGTAATTTGAGGAACAGTTGTACCTTCGGTGCTTGACACTGTTGTGCCAGTAGTCTGTGAGACGGTTGTACCTTCGGTGCTTGATACTGTAGTGCCAGTAGTTTGAGGAACAGTTGTACCTTCGGTGCTTGACACTGTTGTGCCAGTAGTCTGAGACACGGTTGTACCTTCAGTGCTTGTCACTGGCGAGATGGTAGTTGCGATTGTGCCTGTCGTTGTCTCAGCTGTAGTTCCAGTAGTCTGTGAGACAGTGGTACCTTTGGTGCTTGATACTGTAGTGCCAGAAGTTTGAGACACGGTTGTACCTTCGGTGCTTGTAACTGGCGAGGTCGTATTTTCAATTGTGCCTGTTGTTGTCTCAGCTGTAGTTCCAGTAGTCTGTGAGACAGTGGTTCCTTCGGTGCTTGATACTGTAGTGCCAGAAGTTTGAGACACGGTTGTACCTTCGGTGCTTGATACTGTAGTGCCAGTAGTTTGAGGAACAGTTGTACCGTCGGTGCTTGACACTGTTGTGCCAGTAGTCTGAGACACGGTTGTACCTTCGGTGCTTGTCACTGGCGAGATGGTAGTTGCGATTGTGCCTGTCGTTGTCTCAGCTGTAGTTCCAGTATTTTGTGAGACAGTGGTACCTTCGGTGCTTGTAACTGTAGTGCCAGAAGTCTGAGACACGGTTGTACCTTCGGTGCTTGTCACTGGCGAGATGGTAGTTGCGATTGTGCCTGTCGTTGTCTCAGCTGTAGTTCCAGTAGTTTGAGGAACAGTTGTACCTTCGGTGGTTGACACTGTTGTGCCAGTAGTCTGAGAGACGGTTGTACCTTCGGTGCTTGATACTGTAGTGCCAGTAGTTTGAGTAACAGTTGTACCTTCGGTGCTTGACACTGTTGTGCCAGTAG